GTGAGTGAGTGAGTGAGTGAGTGAGTGAGTGAGTGAGTGAGTGAGTGAGTGAGTGAGTGAGTGAGTGAGTGAGTGAGTGACTGAGAGAGTGAGAGAGTGAGAGTGAGTGAGAGCGAGTGAGAGTGGAGAGTGGGTGAGAGTGAGTGAGAGTGAGTGAGAGCGAGTGAGAGCGAGTGAGAGTGAGAGCGTGAGAGTGAGAGAGTGAGAGTGGGTGAGAGCGTGGGACCCCAAACGCCCTCCCCACAAAGCTTCATCACAGCTGTCAGCTTGCAAGGCGACGTGCCCTGCCATTAAAACAAAATCTGGCCTGCCTCGAGACACTGGACGCCCACATTGAAACTATAGAGTTTATAGAAAAATGCTATGCCAGATAAGAGTTGTTTCTTGACATGTCTGAAACGAAAGCTCTTATGTGCCCAGTGTTGACGCAGCCCGTTCCCTATGGCCACCGTCAGATCATCATCGTCATTCTTCAGCTCACACAATTTATGCGAAGAACATGGCCTCTTGCAAGGCGCAAGGCCTCAGCATTGTGGGCTACAAAGTACAATGGCCGCTTTGGAACCAGCATAGCTGAGTTCACATCGACTGACGCATCATCGAGATGCGCTGCGATTTCAAGAGCTGCTTGGCCGGAAAGAAGTCCGCTGCATTGCACTTGCTCTGGCTTGAGGTCAGCAACTTTTGGCTGCATCAGGGCTTTCAAGACCATCTGATTCGACCTCTTCACACGGGCCTTCATCTCTGATTTCAGCCATGGGAATCCCATCATATGCCGCGCATCACGCACTGGGTGGGGTCCTTGGATCTGCCTGCCACTGCGCAGGGTGATTGGTCTGCCCTTTGTGCGACTGAATAACTTGCACATGCTCAACCGCCAGGCAGGGAACCCCATCAGCTCATCTCCAAACTGCCAATCTCGTGCCACACTGGGCGCACACGGAGGGATCACACACCCTTGTACAGGGAGGCCTCTTGAATTCCACCGCTGTAGCTGCACCTCCTCATCAGTCACGGAGATCTCCCCATCAATCCTTGCTCGAAGGTTGGTGAACATCATGGGTGCCAAGGCCATCACAACACTACTTCGTCCCAAGCTTCCGCCCTGGGACTGGACTTGTCTTGATTGACTTCCCGTTCTTGGATCTCGCCAAAGACAGCCTCAAAGACCGCGAACAAAGGACGGCGGAAGCAGCAAGCAAAGGTGGCTTTGCGAGCTAAGCCATACCTGCCCAGCTCGCCATCCAGCTCTCCACCTTGCAGCGAACCCAGAGTGGAGGCAACCAATGTCTTCTCTTCATTCAAAGGGAGCTGAAGCTCTTGACACATCTTGAGCAACTGCTCATGCCGGCCTGGACGGGGTCCCGTTCAGGACCTCCTCGCATCCTCTTCTGACCTCCGCAGCTGATCATAGGAGTCCAGGTAAATGACGATCAAGTCGTCTGTTGCTGGGAGAGGCTTGGTCCTAGCCCAGAGTAGAGCGAGAGTGAGAGTGGGTGTGCGTGTGTGTGTGAGTGAGAGTGTGTGTGAGTGTGAGCGTGTGTGAGTGTGAGTGAGAATGAGAGTGAGAGAGAGGGTGAGCGTGAGAGCGAGCTCAGTGAGCATCTGAGAGCATAAAGTGCTGCGCCTGCCACGAAATCTGCACTTCTAGGTTCACAAAGTGCTGTGCCTGTCACGAAGTCTGCACCCCGAGGTTCACAAAGTGCTTGCCTGCCACAAATTCTGCACTTCGAGGTCCACAAAGTACTCCGAAATCTGCACTTCAAGGTCCACAGAGTACTGCACCCGCCACGAAATCTGCACTTCAAGGTTCACAAAGTGCTGCGCCTGCCAAGATTTCGAAAACGAACCACATGTAGAAAAGTCACGATTCACTGCACTTGTCACGAAATTGCAGCGCGTCCAAGATCACCATATCCAAAGTGCTGCACCTGCCACGACATCTGCATTTCGCAGTGAAGCGGCTCCGATCCCTTGCATCTGTCACGAAAAGTCGACTTTGGACACACCAAAACACGAGGTTTCGCTTGCGCCTGCCACGAAGAGTGACCACCATGTCCGAAAATGGGCCCCGCTGAGTTGGAAAAACCACTCAACGTCCGCCTGAGGCATCCAATTTTTTTCAACGTGTCGCAACCGTGTCACACTCAGTGGTCTTCACTCTTTCGGCCAAGCAGTATCTTGACTTCCAAGAAGTGCCAAGCATGGTTTGACTCCCATCTTTTCTGAAACTCTCAGGGATGATGGCGCAGTGCACCCTTGGGAACAAACACCCATCCTTACAGCAATCAGATGCAATCAGTGTAAATACAAGACCCAAAACCTGCACCCTAAAACCTGTTGAAGGGCTTCTCAGCTTCATTTGCGCTGTTTCTGCTTCTCAGTGACACCAGTATCGCTCCCAGCAAAGGTCTCTCATACCTGGTCGGCGGGTGACTGCCAGTAACGGTGCAAGTGACCTGGACTTGCGGTGGTCAGGGGAACACCAAGAAAGCACAGTTGGATCGCCTGCAACCTTCCAGGAGTTCAAGAGAGATGTCATGGTGGATTGCAAGCCTGGAACAGGAGTCATGCAAGACGTTTCTTCAACCTACCCTTTCTTGGGGTTGCTTGTAAGAAGTGACACTCAGTCAAGGTCGGCCTGATCTAGAAAAGGTCGAGAAAACATCTTCCTCATAGATGCCGTAGATATCTCTTTGAAAGGAGGATTCCAGTATTCCCGGATTCCACATTCTTAAGAAGGAAAGCAATTGACAGTCCAATCACATCGAAACATCGAAACTACATAAACTAGCAGTCCAAACATCCAGCCATGTCCCACCGCCTCACCAACCCACTTCCATCCAGAAACCGCCCACGCACCATCAACCTGCTCCCGAACCTCCCGTCTCATCAGCTCGCGCCTGGGGATTCGTAGCGCGGAGGCTCCCCAGTGACCATGGATCACCTCGCAGAGGAAATGCACCGTGCCTGACGGAAGACGGCGACGGCGGGTCCCGGTGACGGAAGACGGGACGAGTGCGGTGACGCAAATCTGGCTTCCGAAACCAACTGCAGTGTACTCTCCAGTGGTTTCAGGGTGATGGCACAAAACCCCAAGATGTCTTTCAATTGGGGTCCATATAAAACACCTCTTTGGGATTTTGCCATCTACTTTGAAACTACTGTATTGATATACCCATCTTGCCCGCATCATCAAATCATCTTTGTGAGGGACCTCGGAAGATTGATGCTCCGAAATATTGGGGATAGATATATTACCACCAGCATAGCCCAAACGCTCCATGTATGGAATATATATGCCTACATTGGGGTGGTTTGGGGGGTCAATGTAGGCATGGCATTCTGTTTTGAACAAGAAATTAGGCAATGGGAGCAAGCTGCTGGAATCATGGCATACATGGAGTGTCTGGGTAGGAGACCATCCCACAAAAATGTCCTCGTGCAATTCAAGTCAACGTGTGTTTTTCACCATTTTCACCTATCTGGCCTATTTGGAAGAATGGGGGCATGGTCAAACTTTATTTGCGGTTTCCCCCTTTAGCAACCACATGTCATTTCACAGTTGTCAAGAAGGGAATCGAAAACACAAGAACCTCTCCCTCTAAGAAGGCACAAGCCTTCCCAGCGACCCAAACCCAAACCCAGCGCAAAGATTTCGAGAGGAACTCTGGGAAAACGATAGGTCTCCACTTTCGTGTGAGAATCTCCATGGGGATATATGGACAAACAATTCCATTACCAACGTGTACAAACCTGTTGTGCAGAGTTGCAAGAACACTTCCACTAGTAGCACGACAGCTATAGTTGTAGAGTTGTTTCAACCATGACTATGGCTTTGCACATCGTGAGTCACATGGTGAGTCACCCTCAAAAAGTCAGAAACGCATGGAAACAAAACACACACACACACATATATATATATATATAATATCTTTCTGGTTCTCTTCATTGGGATCAGCTCAAAAGGTGCCAGCCGCACTCGCTTTCACATGCAAAAGCGACGCGGTTTACATCAACGCTCTGGAAAAGAACGATCCATCACTCATACTTCCTGTCCGGTCGCACATGGTCTCTCTCTCGCCGCTCCCCGCGCGACGGGAACGACTCGAGGTGCCGAAGGTATTGAGGAAGACACGGAAGATGTAGAAGGTCACCTGGAGGCGGAGGCCGAAGGCAAACGGAATCCCATCCGACACGTCGTGTCTGCCATGCCGAGAGGCCAGGGGGGTGGTTGACTGGGGGTTGGGGCGGCAGTCTTATGGCAGTCCCATGGAGTGTCTGGGATCTATTGATCTCTATTCCCGGCATCGCTGGAACTTCGATCCTTGGAAAAAAGAGGCGAACTGAACGAACTCCACCTGGACCTGCTGTTTAGTGGGGAAACCAATCCCCCAAAAAGGTGTTGCAGGTCTATTGTTCGGCTGTGATCTCTTTTTCTGGCATAGATGTTAGATGATGCTAGGCTCTGTTGGATTAACACCCTGATGGCTGGCTGTGGCTGTGGCACCTCCAAGACTCCAAAGGATGGCGCAGCCGTGTTGGAATTGCTGGAAACTTAAAAGGTTGTTGAAGCCCTGATGCGCTTGAAACATTCGGGATTGAACCCCTCATTTTCAGCCAAGCCAAGGGGTACGTCACATCCAGTGGGCCTTGGGTCTGATCCGTGCTGATGCCAACTGCCTTCAGTCCTCGCTCCGAAGAGCCAGATTGTAGGTTGGTGGTTGAGTGCGGTAGTAGTGTGTCATGACGGGCATTCGCCCAGGGGTAGCTTGTTTTGCGCAGATCTCTCGGACTCTGCAAACAAACACTGGGACCTGGACGCCCACATTTTTGAGCAAACCTCCTGTCCTTTAGAGCTTCGGGCTTCGGTTTCCAAACACCTACCTGAAACAAACCTACATCGGGCGCCAAAGCCGGCATCCCTAAGGAGCCCCCTGAGGCCACACCCGAACCCAGCTCCGAACCCGGCTCTGTCGTTCAAGGCGCTGCGAAGGCCAGGAACCAGGTCTTGGTCCAAACGGAGTGCAGGCCCTGGTAGGCACCTCTCGGTGTGGCGCCGAAACACCACACTGGAGACCAAAACAAGGCGCGACACCGAGGAAGAACAGCCGATTCCAGGGTTCATGATGCTTCATGGATCCTCAGACTTCATGGTATTTGAGGGTCCAAAGCCGTAGCATTCGTAACTGTGGCATAACCCGAAATCCTACGTTTGCCTGACCTTTTGATGTCTTTTGTGGAGCCAGTTTGGTGAAGAAGCAGCACTGGCAGCACCCAGCAGAAATCAATTGACCGCCCGGTAAACGCCCTAAACTGGGGACTCAACAAATGAACATGAATGAACATGTAGATCTTCATGCCAGCACCCGGACCTTCGCAGGTCAAACTCCACTTTAAAAAGGTCTAGAACAGACCTGGACCCTCCTGTCGGGGTGTCCAATGGACTACCCCACACTACCTATAGGCTTCCATTGGGCACCCCGACAGGAGGGTCCTGGGATGATGTCATCTTCCGCCCATGTGGGACCCTCCGATCTTCATTCCCCCACAACGACGGCATCCCGACCCGCCGGCGCCGGCACTGGCCGCTCTCATGCGACGCGGCCCGACCGCGTCGGCGACGCCAAAACGGGTCCAGGGGACGACAAAGGGTGAACATGTTCAAAGGCAGGTTCGACAACTCCTGCGTCACGAGGATACCTCGGCTGAATTTGGGGCCACTCGTTTGGCGCAGGAATTTGGGGCCACGACTCGCCAATGGCTGAAGATCGGGGCACAGGGTGAAAGATGGCGTGAGCTTGAGAGTGCATGCAGAAGCAAAACCACCCGACATCGAACTCCTGGCGATGTTTTCGACTTTCGATTCCCTACTTTCCGCTCTGTTGAATGTCCCTGTTGAACCGTGGTTTGGCGGCGAGTGGCCTCAACTTTTCTGATTCAGAACAGCCATGTGTTCGTAAAGCCTAGTCACAGGTACCACCTATAAATCAGACAAGTCGCATGGAAACCATATTATGCCCCCCCAACTCTATGAACAACAATTCACAACCGGATCTATCATTGCAATTGTCTATAATCTATCTCTGTCTGGAACTTTGAGGATGTTGAAGCTCACCATCCATCCAACACGATTCCTCTTCCGATTCTGCTTTCCCGGCTTCCCCTGCTTCCCCACGCTGCTTCGTTTCTCACACACTCCATTCACCTGACCAGGCACACACCGTCAAGGAACCACAACAATGGCGGACCCAAAGCACGCCACCTGACCACGTTGGGTCGGTCCATCATGCGCGCCAAGGCACGCACGCGCCGCGCAGGCATGTCGCGTGTCGCGATGTGTCGCGAGCGGACGTGGACGCCTTCCTGAACCGGTGAAGGACGCCGGTGACGCGGTAGAATCCGGATGGGACGGGAAAGGTATCGATGATTGGGAACCACATGAAAATGACTATCATGACTCTCGGTCTGGATGACATCATCACTCAGCTGCCAACACTTGTGAATGATTGGCTGGGATGTTGGAAGTATGACATGAGGATGGCAGTGGATCATTGTGGACTGACCTCTGGTGGTCGCAACAAACCAAGTCACCAACCAGTACCTGCTTTGATTCACCAACCAGTAACCTACCACTCGGTCCGTTCATGTCCGCCGTCCATCTGTGGTGAAACGCAGCTCAAAGGCCTATGCCGAAGATCAAGTGATGCAAGTAGAGCTCCTTTACGGGCAGAACTCGGGAAATGCGGGAAGCGGCCAATGAAGTGCGGTCAAGCTTCACAGGGCCCGGGGCCCTAGTGATCCCTCCGAAGCGAGCTTGGTCCTTAGAATCAGTTTCAACATGTTTCAACACATGCCCCATGGCCCACCACAGGCGAAGCGGTACACTCCCATGGCTACCGACGGTGGTCAGCCACATGCGAGCCAATGCGTTTGGCTCGGGTTTGGAACCAAGGTCGGCGTTGCTAAAAAACATGTGGCCACACGGCCCCTTACTTCCTGACTTGGGGAAACCATCTTGATGTAGTAACTGATGTTCCACACCCAGAACGTCCATCAACCACCATGACTCCGTGCCGTCCTAACGTCCCTGACCGCGCCTCGGACGTCACGGGTCATCCGATCCACCCGATGGTCCCCATATAGCAAGCTGTTTTGGACCCTCACAACTCATGTAGACTTTGGATTCATAACCCCAGCCGTTTGAATTGAACATCCTCTTCATATGGGGGGTGTATGAATCAAGAAAACAATTTGTTTTGGACCGAAGAAAAGTACATGAAACAGTTGCCGTTCACGGGGCCCAGTTCGGGTCGCCTCTGGGTCACCAAAACGGATGCCGAACGGCCGGTCGGTGCGCCGTCCGTGGGTCCTTGTTGCCCAAGCGGTGAAGGACAATCAGGAAGCAATCGACCAGAAGGATCGAGACGAACCACGTCCCCACCTGCAACGTGAACACGTCTCGTCCCGAAAACTCAGGGTCACCTGCCGTACCCCAATGCCAAAAGAGGATCCCAAAGAGGTCAGGAACTGAAAAAACCTTGAAGAAAAATATATGCCAAACTGCCAAACACTCCATGTATGGCAAATTGTATACATACTAAGTTGACCCATGAAATTACCTCCAATGATTTGGCAGATCTGACGGCCTCCACGAAAAACAAATTGAGGCACTCCATCGGCTCTTCCGAAAAGGCGGCAAAACAGTCGAGTTGATGGATTTCTCCAAAAAAATCCAGCAGTTGCAGTACAGACTTGGGCGCAACTCCAAGCCAGGGGTCTCCACCCAGAAGTGTCAAGGAACCATATCACCCACTGTTTGGAACTGCAGGACCGTACCACCTAAACAAATCACTGCAAAGGGATGCCGAGAAGCCACCGATCGTCAATCCGTCTTTTTCTGATACAGTATTTTGCTGTGTGATCTGCGCAAAAAATGGCGAGTGCCCAAAGTTGAAGTCGGTCAAGGTGCTAGCGTGCTTGAAAGGGTGCACCTTTATTCCCTTTAAGATTGTCAATCGTTTGAAGCGGGAGCTGCACTGGCAGGCGCACTTGTGTAAAATCCTGATGACCTGCCATTCTGGCAGGTCAGGACACCGACTAGCAAAATCGAGCAACATCAACATCCAAGTAGCTTTTTGGGGCCAAAGGATCAGAGCTGAAACAGAACCTTTGGCTCAAACGCTCCTGGACCTTCATAGATCGGGTTCTGCAATCTCAAATCTCTTGGCTCTGAGAGATTTAGGGCTGTTTGGAGCATCTCGGAAAGTTCAGGGATGGTGTTTGGTGATGCTAGTTTACCTGAGCAATATACATGAACATCTTTGACAAAAACACACAGACTGTAAAGACTGCTCTCATCGCCCCGTTTTTAGGCAACTCTCGACCAAAGCTCTGAAGGTGTTCATGGATCTGCCACCTCCTCGTTGGCCTGGAGTCGGCCGGCGGCAGTTTCAAATTTGGAAGTGGCCGCACTCATCCGCCACGAACGGCAGCGACGCCGGCGGCTGCGACGCCGGCGGCTCGCTTCCCCAATGCAATGAAACATATACGCAGCCCATTCTCCAGCCTCTCTGCACAAGACAAGTTTGCTGTCTGGCAGCCAAACACCGCCGAAGGCTTGGCTTGTCTTGGGCAGACCGGCTTCCAAACACAAGTCCATACAGGGCTGAAAACGGCAGCGTGGAAAAAATTACGGGTTACAAATTCGTACAGGCGCCCTCCCATGTAGATCGGGCGTCCGAGAACGTGCGCCCGTTCCTTTGGAGCATCTGTCTGGCCGCCGCGAGCACGTTGGTCGCCGGATGCTTTTTCGGACAATCGTATGCCAAGCGCGTCAAAAAGCCCAATTTGAAGGCGTCAAGCAAAAATGAGTCTTGCACACCTCTCCTCCCCTCATGGGCGTTTAAATTGGCGGGGAGGGAACCGCAACACTTGTCTTGCAAAAGTTCAGCGAAGGTTGCCGCCCCCCTGACATCCGGAGTGGGGACCTCTTCCGTCAGGTACTTGGTGGATGGTCTTGGGGTATGGAACTTATAAGTTAGTTATGGCATTTCAACAACTTTCAGGGACTTAGAAATCAAGCTATAGAAATTGCAAACCCAGTAGTTTTTAAATGGGTTCATAACTTTGCTAAGTTTAGTTTATGAAATGTTTAACACTTATAAGTTCTCGAGACTTTTTCCAGACACTACATTTTACATTCTTCAAGTTTTCCTTGCGCGAAGAAAACTTCTGTCAGACAAGGGCTTGGCCAGTTTCTAATGACATTTCCTGGCCGCCCAGCAAACCGAATTGAAGACAAGGTAGAAAGTTGGCGGCTTACGGAGCCCTTATTCCTTATAATGTTTTCAATAGTAATGTTTGGCGGCCCAAAGAGAAGCCATGTTTCCATCCGAGGGTTTTCCAACCTAGGTGTTTGAACACAGCTGGAGCTGAAGTGAAACAAAAAGTAATAGATAGTTTTTCGATGTTTTGGGTAACAATTTGAGATGTAGAAGTATAGGAACGTATGGCCTGAATAATTTCAGGGCTACACGTGTATAGCTCCAATTGTTCTGGTCTATACTATACATGTATAGCCCGTGTTTTTCAAGCTAAACATGTATCTCTAACCTTTTCCGGTCTTTACATGAATAGCCTGAATTTTTTCCTGGCTATACATTCCTATACATGCACATTTTCTTCTCGTGTGTGATTGAACCTATGATGATATATCAAACTTTTATCACCGTGATTAAGAACCTTCTCAACCCTTTGAGACACTTGGTGTTGCGGCCCATTGGGCTGCGCTGGAAGAAACCAGTTCTTTGATGTATGCGTAGAGACTCGTACTTAAGTTGTTGGTGCGGCCCATTGGCCCGCCTTTACATTGAATCTCATGTGGCTACAGCCCATTCTCTCATTTTTTGCTACAGTCACATGTTCACTATATTTCATGTGTGGGCTACGAACAATTGTGAAAAGCCAACATGCGTGTTTTCCTGCATCTCTTGTTGATATTTGCGCGTGAAAAACGATGAAACAGTTGTGTGTTGAAAAAGAAACACAACGTTGAAAGTATTGAAGCATGAAGAAATTAACTTTTTTGCCTTAGTTATGTTCTCTAAGCTTGGTTTTTACAAAAGCAAAATAACTTATAAAACATACTAACTCCCACAACAAATCGAAAACATAAAAAAGACCACTCACTTACACAACTCAGTTTTGCTACTCTTCTTATAAGTTGTTATAGCCGGTTTATACCGAGCTTATAACATATGTTCATATGTTCCATAAGTTCAATAAACCCAAACCATCCACCAAGCTCAACAATGCATTCCCACTCCTTGAGCAGTTTCTGGTAGGGAGGACGACACATGGCTTAGATATCTGTCAATTTCATAACAGTATCTCTTGGTCGTATGCGGTTGCATGCCTCTGGTTTTTGGCAACTTCTTGCACTTTAGCAGCCTTGTCCCATGGAAGGGCGTCGACAGGCTTCATAGGCGCCGAAGTATCACAAATCTTGCCGACGCCGTAAAGATTGGCTGGAGTACCTTGGTTGAGGTCAATACAACACGGCCACCGGTGTGACTTCCAACCAAGAACTTCAAAGGGCACCACATGAAACTGCTTCTAGCGATGCTCTGAGATCTCTGAGCTACTCGTCGACCAAGTCAATTTGATGGAACTGTCTCTGAGGGTGGTTGGCCGGGTCTAGGACCTAGGATCAGCATGCCCTTGGATGCGGATAAGGGATGTGGTGAGGTCAACCATGCACAGCATGGATCGGAGTTGCCACGCGTGATAGAACCCAGGCTTCTTGGTGGAAATCTTGTCAGGGAGCATGCTGAGTTGGCGGGCAACAGAGGGCGGGATCTCTGATTGCCTGTCGGTCACGCATGCGTTTTCGTAAAAGATGTGACACACGGTGCTGCGCGTCCCACACTTAAAAAATCGGCACTCCACGGTCCAGAAAGGCTGCGCCTGCCACGAGATCTGCACTTCAAGGTCGACTATATAAGTACTGCGCCTGCTATTAAATATTTCAAGGTCCACAGGATACTGCGCTTGCCACGAAATCTGCACTTCAAGGATCACAAGGTGCTGTGCCTGCTTCGAAATCACTTCAAGGTCCACAAAATACTGCGCTTGCCACGAAATCTACACTTCAAGGATCACAAGGTGCTGCGCCTGCTACGAAATTACTTCAAGGTCCACCCACTTTCCACTCACGTCCAGCCCGCGGATGGGGGGTCGCTGTAGCAGAGTCAAAACAGAAGTCTGTGGGATCGGAATCAATCATTTCAATTGAAGGTTGAAGAATAAATATCTGACACATTCTGAAACACCCCAATCATTTAGTCTAATTGTACCCACGGCGCGGATTTTGACAAGTCTAACTTTCCCCCCCCTCCCCCCCTCAGCCAAAAGGGCCGGCGGAACAACCCGCAGGGGTAAATAAATATATGACACATTCTGAAACACCCTCCCAGAAAAGCTTCCCCAATCATCTCTTGGAAGGTCCTTGCCTTTGGACACAATTATATATATATATATGTGTGTGGCTGTGTGTGGAGCAGACCTGAAGCAACCTACTGTCAATCTACATGGAAAGTGGCTGGTTAGTAATTATGATGCTTTTCGGCCCCTGTGCGAGTTTTGGGCGCCTGGACACCTCTGAGCCCCCAGCATTTGCATCCACACTCCCAAAAGCTCACTTCCACCTCCACCACACGAGTAGACTCACTTCACCGGGCCGGTCGCCCCCGCCACCGCGCGGGTGAAACCGGTGCAACGCCGGGCCGCGCGGGTTTCTGGGCGCCTCCGAGACTAGGGGATCGGAGATGTAGCCGTACCTGGTGCCCACGGGCGAAGGTAGGACAGGTATGACTGAAGCCGACCATTGCACAAGACATGGGGATTCCGTGTGGAACAAGACATCACCTTGAGACGGTACAACTGGATTTGATGGGGGGGAAGATGGTTCTGTCATTTCAGGAGTTGACTCCATGCCACTGGCCCGACGGACCGATGAATTGGGGTGGTTTCATGACTGGGGGGCTGGCTGTAGTGACTGGCAGTGACTGGGAGTGTCTGGGATGCACTCCAGCAGAGCTTGAAGAACGCTATAGACTATCCATGACTATCCATGACAGGTACCCCGCCAGGTTACACGTTCCACCTCTGTTGGCCCCTTGCAAGACGACCGGCGGTCCGGTCCACGGGAACGACCCACGGTCCGGTTCCGGTGAATGCCCCGGTGGAGTGGGATGCAGCCCCGGTTTGTCTAGTCCAGTCACAACCATTTGGCCATGAATTCAGATAGGGCAGGAGCAGTTGGAACTCACAAAGGCATCTACCAGGACCCTCCAAGGGTGCCCAATGGAAGCCTGTAGGTAGTGTGGGGTAGTCCATTGGACACCCCTTGGAGGGTCCAGGTATAGAAGCGTTATTCAACCATCGACACTACAACACTTTGCAACATGGCTGTGGCTCCAAATTCGGAGACCTTGAAGGTCCGAAATTGCCCTACCTGGTGTCGATGGTCGTTCGTTACATGGTGAACTCCAAGCTTAAGACGATTTGACCCATGCCCATGTTTCCTTCCTTTCTGTGGCCATCTACCCATTCCAAACACCTGTCTTCCCTAGTCGGGCACTCGAGGAAGCGATCGCCACTCCGCCAAACGTCGCGGCCGGCGATCATGGCCATGCCGCCCAAAGGTAGTGCAATGACCTGCAGCGGTCGCGGAGCTTAAAGAAAGCCCTTTACTACTAGAAACAAGAAGCTACTAGTAGCGATGGCCTCCAACCTAAAGCGATGGCTTCCACCTACTAGCTTCTTGCTACTAGTAAAGCTCTCCCAGGGTCGAGCCGTTAAAGTGGTTTTGTGCTGACACGAGCCGAGGGTTGAACCCACAACCCTTCTTTTGGGAGCCAAGGCTCATCAGGTGCAAAAACGCGCAAGTTCTTGCGTGCACGTCATTTGTAGATGCATTACTTTTCAGCTTGCATGCCATGCAGTGGGCATGAAGTGCTTATGCTAGGCTTACAAGCGTTCGAGTTGTTTTCAACTTACGTGCCATGCAGGCACGCAAGTGAAGTGCTTGTGCTACGCTTACAACCGTTGGTGTTTCAGCTTCGTTTCCCAAATCAACGCATATCAACATGAAACGCAACAAAACAAACAAAAATACCTCTGTAAGTTCGGCGACCTTGATATTAATGTCTGGACGCTTGAGTCTGAACTATGTTGAACTAGAGTCTGCTTCATCTAAATTTGAAAGGTCTTCGGTCTCAGAAAGGGTCTTCGATCTCAGAAACTGTCCAATTCTCAGGTGGCCGCACCTGAACCGGCAGTTGCTTTTGGTCTTCGTCTCTGGAACCTGGCAGTTGCCTTTGATCCCTCTCTCTCGCTCTTTGAGTGTTTGTGGCAAAATTATTCACAACTAGCTGTGGCAGTGGCTTTGGAAAGTGTTCAAAAGCCAAATTGGAACTTCACCAACATTGTTGCCTTCTGTGCTTTGAACACTCAGAACTGAAGCTGATGGTCAAGAACCGCCAGCCGCTGACCGCGGTTCTTGTTCCAAGGTTGGGCATCTTCATCCGTCATCTGAAAGAAAATGTCAACCTATGACAACCTATGACAACAGTGACGGAACACCTTTCCAACCTTTCCAATCTGAACATGGCATCTTTCCACTGCCCATATGTCAACCTTTGACATGTTCAACCTATATGGGCCATTAGAAGCCATCCTCGCTTTTGTTCGTGTGCTCTAGTTGCCTGCAGTGCGACAAGACAGTCAAGCCATCCAAAGGAGAATGTTCCAGTCCATCCAAACATCTGTATGGCTTCCATTGTTGGTTCTATGGCATCGGTGAGAAACAGCAGGTGACATCAACTTGGGGGCTCTTAGCTATGGAATAGTGGGACATGTCTCACCAAAAATGCCGCCTGTTGCATAAATCGCGAGACTTTCTTACTATCATATGCCACATCGCGCTGCACATCCCTGCACAGGATTCTGGACCCGGGATCCCACAAGACTGCTCATGTGTGTTTGGCTCGCATCGTCCGAGCCGAGCGCCTTAAGCCACTTGGTCATGTTCCCATAGACTGATTGGCGCAAATTCTTGGGGTTGGCGCACTGGCGCACTGGGTCGTGCCAACATAAAAGAAACAACTCCTCCAAGGGTTGATCTTATAACCTTGACCCAGATCTCCTAGTTACCTGCAACTCTTGGTATTGAACAGCCATACAACATCATAGACATGTTCAGAAATAGTGTCATTATCGTTACTGTATCTTAAGCAAACAACATGTTGAACAAAAAGAAATACGGATTTGGTCAGCCAAAAACAGAAATGGGTCGCAGCTGCCCGAAACCATGCGGGCCGCTCCAAACTCCCCGGGAAAACTCGGAACCGAGTTGCGATCATCGGAATGTGCCAAGCCTCGACCGGTGGAAGGATCTTCGGAGGCTGTCAGGAGGATGCTCTAGGAGCAAGAGGACGCTACTAGGAACAAAGGGCGTCGCTACTAGGAGCAAGGATGCTACTGGGGCTCCTGGCATCGCTACTAGGAGCATTCTTGCTTATAGGAACAAGAAGCTACGAACGGAGCAAACGGCCCAACGATGTCCGAGGTCAGGAGGATGCTCTGGGACCCAAAACTCTCCCTGGGTCCAATGTATATACAATATTGTATCATTACCAAACCTACATAACAGTGTCTCCAATCACCGTACCTGAGAAGGTACGACTGGATTTTATTAGGGATTGTATGATGACATACATGGGCATGGTTGACCTGGGGTTCCGTAGAGTGGTCATGCCAGTCCGGAGTGGTAATATACACGTAGACTGACTCTTGTAGGAATGGATTGTAAAAGCTCTTCAGGCCTGAAGGATTTGAAATATCATAAAACGTCTATTTTACACACCATCCATGGGACTGGAATATATGCCGCCCCATTGACCACTCCAACTACCCCAATGTAGTTATATACATAGGCACATAGATGGTCGAGGTATATTCATGGAAAATTCCGGATCCACGACACTCACGATTTTTTCTGACCAAAAAAAGGACGCTAAATATACTAAATGATGTTCTTGCCTGCTGTACTCATCAATCCCCTTTAAGTCAGACATAGTCAGACCGTTTTTCTTCGCTTCACTCTGCGACTGAGTCGCGACCCAGTGACCGGTCCACCGATGGACGCGATATAAAAGCTGCGTGGTGTCGCGCAGCGAGCTGGTGTCGCGCCCGCCCTGCTGGGGTTGGCCCCGTGCTTTCGATTTACGGATTGAGAGTAGATGGCACAGACCCCAAGATGTCCTTTAGATGGGGTCCATATAAACCACCTCTTGGGGTCTGTGCCATCTACTCTCAATCCACTATAAGGATTTTGCCAAGGAGCGATGTAGAAGGTCCGGTCGAAGCTGGCATCAAAGCCTTGGTCGGAAGGTCCGCTCGGAAGCTGCAACGGAAGGAGAGAACTGGGGTGTGGGCGTCGAACTAGCGGAGACTGGCCATGATTACCCATTGTAACAATAGACAGTAGTATTTACACAAACCCAAATACTGTTTCGTTTAAGACAAATTCTATAAAGATCTATAAAGTATGTTTTCATAGAGGTTATCCATGATTAACCCTATAAAGTCTATATATTATTAATCTAATATATTACTATGCATGCACAATGCACACATCCATTGCAAGTATATATATAAGATTATATAAGTATGCTCAACATAAGTCGCGGACAGCAAATCTATTGGACAATCCTACATGTTACATTATCCTACATTGGACAGCATACAAAAAGGGCTGCTGTTCCTTGTTAATCTTTCTTGATCAGGGATTTAGTCTGTTTCCACCCCGACTCTACTGCAAGCTCCCACTTTCTGTTTTGGTGCTGAAACATCCCACCTTCACCCCGGTTTTCACCCCAGAGCATGTTCCACCATCGGGCGCAGATTCTTCGTTCTTCGACGCGGTTTCCCGGTGCACTCACGTCGTCCCCTGGCGTTCTTTGTTGAAAGACCTGGACAAAGAACAAATAACCAGGGGACAAAAGAAAACACATCTTCACCAAGCAACTGCGTCGTCCCTGGTCTTCTTCCCTTGTAATCATCCGCAGTTGCTTGGTGGAGAAAAACAGGAAGAAAAAAATACCATACATGACATGAAAAGAACACACTGAATCACTTTGGCTGTGTGGATCAACATCTCCCCCGTCGCGCGGCGACGTCGGTCGCGCCATGTTGCGCCCTGTTTCGGTCTCCCCGGTGCCATGACCCACCCACAGCCACTTACTGGATGGGGTGGATCAGTCTCCCTAGGGCTCCAGTCCTACTTCCTCAGGTGGGACTGGGGGCCCGGGGGCCAGTCATACCGGTACCGCTTCGGAGCTACGACTTGGAGCCTAATGGGTCTACCGTCCTACCCGTCTACCGCAGACCTCTCACGGTCGACCGGTGACCGCAGGATCGGGTTTCTCAGTGCGGTGCCTGTATGATCGGGCCACTTGCCCTTTTTCCGGAGGATGAAGATGACCTTGGAGTGAGTCATCCAATCCAAAGCAAACTTAAGCAAACCAATGGAGTGGACCCTGAGTTCAAAGATCAAAAGAAGCTGACCCGGACGAGTTCTGGATGGTGCGGGTTGAATAATTTGGTGACGATAGTCCGATAGTTGTCCGAAAGCTTCGAACGTGTTTTTTTTGATGCCAATGGTTGGGTTTGTGACATTTTGTGACATCTGCCGAACAGGCCCGTGTGGGCACTATTCCACTGGAATGAAGTGCCGCTGGTCATCATCTGCCAAGATATATTGGGTGCTGGGCAAAAAGCTTCGGGAGAATTCCGTCAAATATATGATCGGTTCAATCCAAAAAGATCCAAAAAGCATGGAGACAAACGGCATGATCTGTTCACTGTTGTCCACCACTTCCGAAAGCGTCTGGGACCAGAACCAATGGTATCTCCGCACCCCATGGTATCGCCCATCCTTGGTCGATCCATCCGCCCGAATGCAGACCCGTTCACGCCCGCAGAGACGTAGAAAAGCATCAAATGCAGTGCGATGAAGGGTGCAAACCTGCGGACAAACAACCGTCGCGGTTTTGGTTACACGGCCTGCGGACCTTCTGTAGGCGTGCGTGGGTTATGAAGGCAGGCGGACTGTCCAGCGGACTGCGTGGCCACCGTCGTGTGGTTTTTTGTGAGGTGCAGAACTGTCTGCAGGACTGGATGCATCGGAAGGCTCTAATCGCTTTATAAGAGTCGGCTTGATAGGAAAAAGTGGTTTCTTGCGGAGTCTATCGGAAGCAGTCAATCTCCGGAGATGGAACACAACGTTGCACCCCGTGTGTTTCACGGGTGAAGGATTGGAGAAATGGGGGGAACGGAATTGGCCAAGACCACGAAAAACCCACGTCCGCGCCACGGCCACAGTCGTCCACATGTCAAAACCAAATTCCAGTCGTGAATCCTTGCGGTTGATTCGTGTCCCAAACCATTCCCAAACGCTCCACGGATAGAATATCATGGAATATATACAGTGCATGGGGTGGTTGACCGTACGGGGTCAATGGGGCAGCATATGCCAGTCTCTGGAATTCATGGCACATCATTCATCATTCAGGACACCCAACACCCCAAAGAGCAAACTCCTTGGGCCTATGGACGAAACTCCTTGGGCCTATGAACGAACGAGTGCAAAACAAAGACGAACACACATGGAAGCGGTTCCATGGAAGCGGCGCGAATCGTTCTTGGACCAGGGGCTTTCCGCAGCAGCAGGGCTCTGAGAAACAATGTGTTTCTCGTCAAGGTTTGTTCATAGGTTCAATACGGTTTAATATGTTCAAGGTTTATTCGAGGATCACTGGGAACAATCCATTCTACCCAAAGCAACAGCTTTTCCATGCTTGTCCTGTATAGATATTTTCCTTACTTGTAGGACTGGTGGTCCATTCCGCTCAAAAAGGCGTTCCCATCAGTTTGCTCGGCCCACCATGGCCACTCCAACCGCCCGTACCAGCCCACGGCACCGCCCGGTGGCGAGGCAGTGCAGCGGACAGGGCGGATCGGTGGGGCACCAAAGAGGCCATAAGAAGAAACCTGGTGGAGCCAGGCGGATCGTGGAGTACCGCGACGTACCGCGACGTACCGCGCCCCACGCGGAACGAGAAAGAGCGGAAAAAGCGTCTCGTCTCGTCACGGGCGGAACTCGAGGCCGGGGCGAGATGTCGTGCCATCCACAAAGGGTTGCGCGTGTCTAGTTGGGGGCGGATGGTGCCAACCGGCACCGGAGGAGGAGGGAGTCGAGTTTATTTGAGGTCCCTATAGCCGTACTTGAGGTGGAGTTAACCTGCAAACGTCGCACCTGCGGCAAACATCCCCACCTTCCAAAGGTCCACTGGTCCAACTGAAGAAGCTGTGCAACTTGAAGACACCCCACAACTTGGATGATGCAATCGCACATGTCGTGAGGTTGAACACTCTCATCTGTCTTTTCCATACCAAAAACACCAGGGGGCGCCAAAAACCATTCAACAACCTGATGTTCCCTAGCAAAAAGCATTCTTCTTGTATGTGAAGAACCTGTATATTTCATGGTTTTGAGGGCCACTGAACCGCTGAACACATGCCTGGCACCGTCTCACCACCCGTCTCTCACCATCATCATCTCGTCGCCTTGTCGAAACCAACCCTGGAGTGCAACGACCATATGGAAAGGGCCTGAATTTATAAGACCTACGGCAAGAGATCTGACCAAGCAAAGGGAAACAAGAGATTCCAGCGAGTTCATCAGTGAAAAGTTGCATCAGAATCCATGAGGTGTCTTGCAAAGTCTGGAAGATGTTGGAACATGGTGAAGCTGTTCAAGGACCTCCGAAATCGCCCGTCACGACATGTCACAGTATGCTATCTGGAATAGGGGTCTGCCAAGTCACTTCCTTCCCCTATAGTATTGTTTGCCATCCTAATTGTCTTTAGCTTAATTTGTGTCCTTTGTATATAGTTTTTGAATATTGTAAGATGCTTGGTCAACTCTCTTCTACTGAGCCAAATTTGGCGGCTGTCCGACACACAGTTGACAACTCCTTTAGGCATTCTGAGAGCATCTGAAGTGATGCGAAATCACATTCACCATCCAACACGAAAAGCCTTGGACCTGCGCCTTGGAAAACTGAGACCGAGACCTGTTTAGGCATCCGTTGTTGGTTGGTTCGGGCCCGGTTCTCAAGTACTTGTCCAGCTGGTTGAAAGAAAACTAGACGTCCCTTTGGGTGATCTCAGAGCAACACATATTCCCGGATCTGCATAGTTTGGGCCATCAAACCTTAAACCATATGCCTTCCACGTGGAATTTGTTGTATTAGCTGCACTCTTCTGTTTTGTTGCCTCTCCCCCAACGTTCCTTCAGGGACAACGAAACGCCAGTGTCTATCAATCTTGAAAGATCAGTTTTAAATTCCCACAACCAAAAATAAGGGGACGGGCAAACTGCAATGCAACAACGTGTGAAAAACTCGTTACAATAGTTTTTTACAACCCGGCCTTTGGAATAAAACATTGACTGCCAGTCTCGAGTGTTCAATCCCATCCCATGCCATGAGCAGGGATGTGTTGTTGTCCACCACCCTCGAGGCACCGGGCCCCAAGTGTTTGATGAGTTCTCGGCCATGTTGTAGGCAACTGGAACCTAAGACCTCCCACAAAGGATGATGGCCACATCAAATCATAAAATGTTCCACCAAATAAAGGTGTGGCCATGCGCATCTGTTCATCTCTTGGGTTTGTTGGAACTGCGGAAAAATGAATGGCAATGATGTGCCCTATTGTGCCCTCCCTGAGGGTTTAGGTGTACCACTGGCCTAATGGACGCCAACATGATCAAAGACTTCTGTTTCCATTGAATCTGGGGGCGCGGCATGCACATCTAGGAATCATTGGGTGACTCGCTGTGATTGCGCTTGGGAATGCACGTTGCCAAACATCGTGGAAGTCAACCAACATCACCCCAACAAAAGCACGAAGGTGCACCCAGAGAGTGCATCGAAAACATGGGTTCCCGCAAGTTGGTTTCTGAGGTCTACAGATATCTACAGTACTCCTTTGGCTTCATGGCCACACGTGAGGTACAAGTCTTGTCAACCAGCTCAACACCATCAACATCAACTGTTGTTGTCAGCTATGACAGCTATGTGTTGATTCTGCCAGTGGCCAAGCTCAGCAGCGTCGCAGTCACCCCATCAAGCCACTCTTAGTGCATGCCTGCTCCCTGGTTTTGAGGTGCCACAAAGGGTAAGACACCACCTCAGATCCGGCCACCCACGTGCGAGTCCAATTGCAGCACACAAGCAGCCGGAACACGCGAGAAACAAAGATCTGGTTGACGCACGTGGAGACGCAGGCCAACTATAGGATTAGAAGTGAAGCACGCCGCACGCAACACATACTGTTCACGAGCTCCTTCGCCTGAACGTCGCGCGAAAGTCGCAGACAAAAGTTGCACGGCCGCGAAGTCAATGACAAACACAATGATATCTCCATCTCTGGAGGCAGGAGTTGCAACCTCAACCCCCCTGCGGCCCCTGCGTCTAATCAATCAGCCTGACTGGAGAACTCCTGTTCACCGCGCGTTGCAGGTCCGCATTCACTCTGTACTGTTGTACGGTCCTGTAAAGACTTCGGCTTCTTTGAGCATCCGAGCGGATATGACAGGGATTGCCTTTCCAAAGAAATAAGCCTTCAACATCCAACTGGAAGACAATAAGAAGTCCCAAGAAGCGTCCTGGAATGGACGATGGAGGCCAGCTCGCAATAATATTGAAAGTTTCATTGTGCGATTCCAAGAAGACTTTCTGAAAAAAAAGAATACATGCATGTACCTGGACCCTCATATGCATGTATCTGGACCCTCCTCCAAGGGGTGTCCAATGGACTACCCCACACTACCTATAGGCCTAGGCTTCCATTGGGCACCCCTTGGAGGGTCCTGGTATATCAATTTATACGTATGCCATGTGTATCTACTCAATGGCGGTCTGGATTCCTCCAAACGAAACATGATTTCTCGCCACCGTCTTGATCGATGCAATCCTCAGCTGGAACCTTTAGCAGCTTTAGCATTAGCGTCCAAACTGTTCTGGAAATAAGAGCCATAACATCGTTCTCCTCCAACCAATATGAGTTTACCGGGAACTGCCGTGTCGGAGTGCGTCCTGTGTCGGAAGTTGGGGGTGAACCATTCACTGGATGTGTCCCAAAAGCACCGACAGACATGGAACTCCAGGCAGTCTGTTTGAGTTGATGGTTTCTGCAGGTCTTTCAAATACAGAGAGACATTGTGAAGGAGGATTTTGCTAGGTATAGACGTGTATTATATATAATATATATATATATAGTGGGTTGAGAGTCGGTGGCACGAGGGACCCCCCAATGTCGGTGCTTCAAAGGATCCCCATCTTCGGGTGGCCCCATGCCCAGAGTCGGTCCGTCTCCTTCCGGCTCGAGGGTCCCAGCCTCCGACGCACTATAAGTTTATGTGTTTAAAGGTTGTTGTGTTGGGATTTCATTGGAATGGACTGGATGGGTGTTGGTGGGTGTTTCGGAGCCTGAAACGGAATTCTTAGAGTCGATCGAGGTCCTTTTTTGGAACGTTTTGGATTGTGTTGGACAGTCTCGATGTTCCTTGATTTTCGAAATAAACCATGATCAGCTACAGAACATCTCTGTTGATCAGTACAAGCGCTGAAGACTAGATTGAGCTTAATTGGGACATAAACAAACGGCAAACACCTTAGCAAGGGGTTCAGGCGTTCCTTGTGCCCCCTGTGCTCTATATCCTGTATCCTCACAGACTCTCCACTGGTTTCAGGTTTCTCATATTATCCGAACTTGTGTCCTGCACAGTCAACAGCCCAATGATGGTCAGAGTGAAGATCCCTGTACACTGTATTGTACCTCCCTAGCAAGGGCCCTTCAAAATTCCAGGGCCTCAACCTCTAAATCATGTTGTGTGAACACGCGTGAACGAGTATTCTCACACATGAAGTCCCCGCAGTCACAAACACCCATTCTCTACATGATTTCTCAGAGTATGTGCCGTTTGGGTGTGTACTATAGACTAGGGAGACCTCCCAGCGTTCAGACCTCCCAGCTCAGGTGAGGCAACCAGTCGACCAGTCGACCCACTAATCAGTGAGTCTCAGACACGACTAATGGGACTGCCATATATGCCTGACCCCCAAACCACGCCAGGACCAGGAATGGCATATGTTCCATACATGGAGCCATCAAGCGCCAAGCGCGTCCAGGAATGAGATACACCCAAACGCTCCATGGCTAACGACCGTCGTCTTCGAACAGCGAACAGCTCCGCATCCGTCGTCTTCGACCAAAACACCGAAAGAGCCGCATCCACCGCGCAGCCGACCTCGGGGTCCGTCGGTCGCTTCCGGGAACCCGGCAATTAGAGACTTTCTCTTCAAGTGCCAGTCAAACATAGATAAAACATATAGTATATATATACCAAGAGACTAGTTCCAGACTGGAAGAGTACCACTTGCGACTGGATTGTCCTCATATATAGTATATCAATATATTATAATGTAAAACCCTCTGCAACCCCACGGGCCAAACTACCCAACTTCTACGGCCTCGACCGCCGAAGTTCCGGAGAAAAAGATCACGTGCGCGACGGGGCCGGCCCAGGGCCCTGGCCAAACAAACCCTTGTGAGGTCCAAGCCTCGAACAGCACAAAAAGCAGGCGAAGTGGCGAAGTGAAGGCGGTTCTTGACAGTAAAGTTCGGAGATGTTCAGGTTTGGGGCAAGCGAGTTTGGAGAACCTGAGGGGAGAAGAGTCGGTTCTTGCCATCTCCAAACCAAGCAAAATCAGCCAAGTTCTCGGGGCAAGCGAGGTTGGGAGATGGCAAGAACCCGACAAACTGCATGGCCATTTCAGTTTAGCCAAAGTAGTCCAAGGTCGCGTCTGGATAAGAATACACCTCCATAAGTTTATAACATGCAACTCAAAATTGAGGATGACTGGCGTTTGTATCATCAAACACTGAGGTTGATTGTTGCATATTGTTGCAACTTGTTCCATGCATTTAGTTGTGAAACACCAACAGTTGAGTGGCTTTAACATGGGCAAGGAATCAAGCCGAGGTCTTGTTCACGATTCACACCCCTGCGGTAACCCAACAAAACACCCTGCAGCATCCTACAGCCTATCATCTCGCGGCAGCTGAGAGTTTGGAAGGTGCCAGTGCCAGCCCATGTGATTTGATCTGGTGGTTCCAATATGCATATACCGTATACCAGTATATACTGTTTATTGCTGTATGCAAAAAATCCGAGGATCTGCACATGCTACACGCCATACACGGTGTCGGAGTGGGTTGCCGTTTGTCGTTGGCTGGCGGCTGATAGAACGCCGCCAGCTTTTCTTAACGTTTTTGCTTTTCAGTTGATGCTACGTTGGGGATGGGGGTGGGGAGGGGTGGGGCATGTTAACGTTCGGTGGCACTTACGTCATGAGTATGTTTAAATCTTTTGTGAACTTTCTTGCCCTTGGAAACACGGCCACTGTCGTGTGAGTGCACAGTCCACCAAGATTCATACATATTGAGCCACGTTTCAGGTTTAGTAACTAGAAGCTTCTAAGACAGTCTAGAAAGTTGCCTGTTACTACGAAGACAACAAAGACAGTCTAGTAAGCTTCTAGTTACTAGTAAGCTTATAAGACAGTCTAGAAAGACTTTTAGTATGATTATGGAGCAGATTTTAGAGTACGAGCTGAAAACGAGCTCCCAATTCTGAGTGCTCATATGAAAGGTGACAAAATGAAGTAGTTTGTCCGGACGTTCTGGGTCGTCCATTTTCACATGACAAGAATAATTCATTGTAAAAACCAACACGAAAACAACCTGTCATGATGATAAAACGAAGCGGCGTTCTATCAGCCGCCTACCTTGTAGTTAGTATATAGATGCAGTTGCAAATCCTAGTGTTCAATGCTTCAAAGTAATCGTTGAAACTTGTCGTGAACCATGAAGTACCTAAGGGGTCCAGCTGGGTTGCACTCTGGCCACCGAAGGGAGCCTGGGACTGGCAAGTTGTTTCAACTCCGCGTTATGTTTAGTAACGCAGCGCATATAGATTTGACGTGGAGCTGAAGTCTACCACCTCATCAGCTAAGTGAAGACAGATGCACGTGTGTAGGCTCCGTAGCCATTTTGGCTCAAGGTACACATTGGGCTCTTGCTGCAAAGCAGGCCTTTTTGCCTTACGACTCCAGGCCAACGTTCTTTTTCAAGTGTCTTTTCACTGTAGAAGATAGCAAATATTACTTATTAAGGGAGTCACCAAGGCTCGGAGTAGCCGAGCATGGATCGGGTGCGTCTTTGGATGTGGTGAGAGAGGTGCGGTCCAGAGTTTTAGTACTAAACTTTTCCCAAGTCTCGCAGGGTGCCCTATACGTGGTGAGTGTAACGGCCTATGTGAATAAGTCTGTCAGTTGGCAAGGTTTTGTAAACTTACCTGGCTAGGGTTGGGCGGAGATCCAGCAGCTCGCTCTCATAGGGTCGAGCAGTTCACTGCACTCTGAGGCCTGTAACGCCTTAGGAGTCTCCGATGGAGTCATCCATAGCAGAATTTCTTAAGAGGCAACTAGCTTGCGAGCTGTTGCATGGACACAACATGAGCCATGTGCATGCTGCACGCTGTTGAATAAAGAGGCCTGGGGAGTCAGGTTTTAGCGTGCTTCCTGAAAACCTGGCGCTTTTAACCATATATCCACGTGGTCCGCGAGAGCAGTCCTGCCAGAGAAACTCGCTATCCTTGGGCTTCATCGACAATTAAATAGCCTTCCCGGAAAGCATGTTTTTTTGCAAAACAAGGACTACTAGTATTTTCTTGCCAGCTATTCCTTGCCTCCGGCCCAGCTCAAGAACCGTAAACAAACCGTAGAAGGGACATTGTTTGGCGTAGAACGCACGTTTTTTGCCGTGGAAGAGGCATGGAACCTGGCCTCACACAGCATATATGAACAACCCGATCACGGGTCAATCGAGAGGAAGTGGATTTCACACACAAGAAACACACACACTTTTCCGAAAAAAGTAAACGCTCTTGCAACAACGCATGTTTTTAACACATACTTTTGAAGCATTGGGTTATACAGATTAATAGTTTCACAGCAACCACGTGGCCCTGCTGAGTCTAACCAAAGCCATGCTCCAAATAGGCCGCATAGAGTGTTTTCAGTGTCGGAGCTTGATGGATGCCGGACACGGGTCCAGCGTCCACGGGGTCTGGCATGGATGCCGGTGCCATAGTCTGAGAGCCCACGCTTGGCCAGTGTTGATGAAGCTCTGCCTGGCAGCTGGGCACTCAAAAACCGCAGATGCGACTTCTCCACATTCTTTACCACAAGCATGTCTAGTAGTGTCTAGCTCCAACGCAAGCAAAGCTACACCTAGCTTTGCTCGACGGAACAACGCTGTTTGACTCAGAGTATTGGAAGGGAGCCGTGCTTTGGCACACAAGTCGATCTCCAAGATAGCATGTCCACTCCGCTTGGGATTGGAAAAGCGTTGACAAGCCTCGGTTTCTGGATTTGGGAGCAGGACAAGCTCAGTTTTCTCCTGCCAAACTCCTTGGACCCAACACCGAGTTACGGGTGACCAATCCCTTTCCAGTGGCCCAGAGTCGGAAGGGGTCAGGCACCAATGATGGCCACACTGAAGAACCAGAGCTGACTCCGTCATTTTCCCGGAAGATCTATAAAGGTGAACCAACATTTTCACCTGATCTTATCCCCCAAAAAAGGTGAAAGGCCAAAGGTTATTCAGGATATCCACGTTTGCTAAGGCGATGTCATCCCAACTGCCTGCGCTTGCCAGCTGCGTTTCACCACAAAGGGCGCTGCCATCACCTCACTTCGGGCGGGCGCTTAAACGAGATCCATCAGTGGAGCCTGGCCATCCCAAAAACGATCCTCTATGTTGCACGGGGAAATGAAAGAAGACTTGACATGATCTATTAAACAGTTTAAAGCAATAAAAACCCAAGAAATCGACTTCATGAACACGCTTTTGACTCTACAACCAACATAGCAATGGACTAGTTGAACTCTAATTCGCTTAGTGAACTAGCTAAGGCCTTGCATCCTGAGATTTTATGCGTCAACATACCTCAACCCCGACTGTTTTCGGACTGCAACCGGGTGTGGTTCTTCAAGCTACCCAGCATTTTGTCGGAAATATCATGGAAAATGGATGGATGATGGATGACCATGTTCCGAATACCAACCCGGTGGTTTCTCACTTCCATGATCAGGGATGGGTCAAAACCATGGAGCCCTGGTCAGCCATGTAGCGAACAACCGACACCAGGTAGGTCAACCGGTCGGTGTCCTGGCGCCTTGACCCACAGCCACTTCATTGTAAATCCATGTATAGTGGAGAGTAGAGGGCACATGATGGCACAAGCCCCAGGAGGCGGTTTAAAAACAAGAAAAGAAGAAAAATATATACATACACAATTTTATACTTATATACAGTATACATATATAATTGATATATATATATATAGTATTATACTATATAAATATACATACCTGAGAAAGGAGAGGACGAAAGCCAGCGAGAGACCAATATGGTAGTGCAAGACTGGGAGGAAAAAAGAAGTGTTGAATGTTTCAGGCTTTCTCGATTTTCCTGGCGCCGTGCTCTCTGGAGCGTCCCTGTTTGGTGGTCTATTTGAGAATCCGTGTAAAAATAAACGTCAGTGAAGACCGGGAGAAGGATGCCCGAAAGGTGGTTTTTGGTTGTTTTCAAATCTATTTCGGGCATCGTGCATCAATGCGAAGCCCTATAAAGAGCAGGGCTGGGAGAAAAAGAAGAGGAGAGCACTCATTCTTGAATGGTCCTTTCGCACCCCCTTAACTCACTTCGTTCGCTCTAAGAGCTCAAGCCTAGCCTATCGGCTGGCTCTCGTAATATATTCTATACGGACCCTCATCTAAAGGACATCTTGAGGTCTGTGCCCTCGAACCTCTGACACTGTAAATCCCATGTTTGGAGGTCGTGAGTCTCACTTGCTCCAACAGACCTGCAGGGACTTAGGGACTTATGATGCCGCAACAGTTCCAGATCTGCTCCAGAAAATGAAATGCCTGCAAAGGACCACATGAACACCCCAAAACAACTGGGTTAGTCAAGGAAAATGGTCTTCCAAGGTTCGATCCTCAGGGTCCATCGGGGGAGTCCAATACCTCGCTCCCCGCCACTCCCGGCCTCCTAGCTCCATGTGCTTGGGAGCTCCATTGCTCCGCCCCGCCCCACGCGTTTGGGTTCACGCAATCGCCGCGGGACAGGGGGGAGAGCGGGTCGCTTCGGTGCAAGCTTTCGGTGGGGAGGGGATCCGGGCGGCATGGTCGCCCAGGGAGGACTTCCTCCGGGAACTGAGCTCAAAAGGAGATAAAAAGACTCCCATCCCCCCAAAAAACTTCGGGAAACTAGGTTTTTGAGACGAGTTGGACTCGTGTCTGGACCATGTCCACCGAACGAATTGTCTGGACTCGTGTCTGTCTCACTTAGGTCTTATTGGTTGTGACTCATGCGAAAACCCACGGATGGGATCTCCACGGTTCTACGTGAAAGTTGAGACTGACCAGACCTGGCCAAGATTGTCTATCTTCGAGGCAGAGCTACGTTTCAGCTGGTTGTTTACGAGCATGGTGGGGTTTTACTCCGTGAGAATGGGGTGGGGTTTTACTCCATGCGATTGGCATTCCATTTTTGGATGAGAAATTGGGGCCCAGTGGGACGCATTTCAGACATCACCATCCAATGCATCTAGTTCAGTCGAGTCTCTAAAGCCCTTGAAATCATTGGGACTTCAGCAAACAACGGCTACCGGCCAAGCGTAGCGCATGAGAAAGTGCCAGTTTGACACTGCCCTACAAGGATGCAGGTTCAAAGGATGCAATTCTTGGGGGCAGCGGAGTCACTATAGCTAGCAAGTATCGCATGATGCCAGCATCAGTAGCTTGACACCCACCAAACATCTATACCAAATTGAGGTTCTTTTGAGAACTATCAGACTATCAGCATTTGAGATCACTGAATGCACATGTCCATCTTTCCTGGCCTGTGAAACAAATCAAAGACCGGTGAAAGATCAAGTTCGATTCGCACATGTTGGTGCCATCCATTCTTTGAAGAGCTACTCACAAAGCCCTTGTAGTTCTGGCGGCAAAGAAGGGGACTCTCTGCCTCTTACAGAACCCAGTCACTTTAGGTGGACCCAAAAAGAACGTCGTTCTTTGCCGCTTGCCAGGTACTTAGAGCTCCCAAACCAGGGAACATGTATGAAAACAATCAGGGGAACTTAGCTATATGTCTGTCAAATGACCGAGCTAGTTTGGAGTCTTTGGAGTAGCCCAAACCACTAGTAGTGTCAACCACTAGGGTTCAAAAAGGATCCAAATGTGAAGGCCTCTACTTCAGTGACCTCTCTTCACCTCGAAAAACCGCACCAAAATCAGCGAAAAAACCGCCCAAATCGAGGGTGGCTACCAGTTCCTCACCGAGCACACCTTGACCTGCACGTCGACCAACCGGGCGAGGGGGACGAGGGGAGGGAGGGAGCAAGGAACTGCTTCGGAACTTGGCAACGAGCGGGTGGCTCTGGTAGGAGAAAGGGATTAATGTTTTTCATATTGCAAGAAAACATGAATAGTTCTGATCTGAAATAATGTGGTTTGGTCATGCTAGGTCCAACTTCTTTTATAAGGACAGGCGTGTACTGAAATCGTTGCTCTTGGAGTCTTGGATTGCAATCGTTGGATTCCTGAAATTCAACCTCTGAATACTACGCAATCATCTGGAGAACTTGTGGGTGTTCTCGGACTTCCCGAGCCAACTCAACCTGGATGTCCAGGAGATTCCAAAACATCACCCTGAGAGTCAAAGTTTGACTCATTTTACCCCCGATCTTGGTAGTATGACTCCCACCACCCGGTGCTTCGAGTCAAAAAATGAAACATGTGGGTGTTTTCAGGTCTGCGCATGTCCAAACCCTCTCAGTTGGCGCGGGTCATCTTAGGCGCAAACTGCGGGCGTTGCTTTGTCGGTTCAGCGCCGCTCTCTTCGACCAGGTGCCGGGGTTTGAAGAAGTGGAGTGTTTTGGGCGAAGAGTGTGAGTGTCAGGTTCCTAGCCTGTTGTTTTGTCAGCCGGGGGTGGTGCAGGGTGGGCGGTCAGCAAAGGAGATTCACCGGACAGTGGTGCGAGCAGCCCTGTCAAAGGGGCAACTGTCCTCGTCCTGACATCCCATGAAAATTTTTTGGGCAATTCATGGAAACACAATCCGCTGATGAGTGCAGCTTGCTCACAGCAAATGCTGGCATCGTGAGGAACAAATTTTACCAAAAACAAAAATGAAATTAAAAATGTCCAGAACACATGTTATTGAAACTGTAAAACCATTATATGCATTAGTATATTGTGTTTCATCTACATTATATAAACCCGTGTTTGTGAATTTCATTTATTGCACTTACAAAACGCATTTATATTTCCAGTTGATTGTTTCATGTTTACTTGCTTGAAAAATAACATAAGAATCCTTCTACTTCTGTAATACACTTCGTTGACTTTGTATTTGATGCAAAAATCTTAAATTTGCCACTCATCTCTTACACATTAATCTTTACATTCACAAAGTGCCGAACTGTTGCAATCCAGATCTGCAAAGTAGGCCCTTGCTTCGAGAGAGCCGCCAACAACTAGCAAATTTTTGCGAGCTGTGTAGAACTGCAAAAGTCCTCACGGACTTGGCAATGGACAAAATCTTAGCTCTTTCGATCCTCATGAGTTGCCCGTTGTCATCTCCGTGGGAGAAACGAAAGTCAGAGGAGCAACTACACTCAGCCGCAGAAGTCACGGCATAGTAGGAAAAAACTAGCGTTCCTGAATGGAAACGCAAAGCCAGGAGGGGGTCCCGGCATAGTCCTTGCAAACACAAGCTTCCCGCATGGAAACGCAATGATTTGGCAATGCTTTTCATGTGTTCTGAAGCCCCTTCCGAAGCAATATTGTCATGTATTCACAACGAGCTTCTGGCATGGAAACGCAATGACTTAGCAATGATGTTAATCAAGTCCCGATTGGCCGCCTTCGCCGTGGCGTTCATCGACTTGAACAACTCCAGGCCAGTGCGAAGCCATCGGGGCTGGAACAAAGGCCTCCGCCGACACGTGCATCTGCACGACCTCCACCTTCTTGCCAAGTCCTGTGGTCTTTGACCTGACAATGTCCCCAACCATGCCAATGCCCTCTTCATAGACCAGGGTCGGTGGTGGTAGACCTTCAGCATCGTGGGATCGTAGAGCCACCCAGACCTTGACCAATTTGAACCAAGCGTACACTCGCTTATATGTTGCCAAGCCACGCTCCATCACGGCGTACTCCCAGGCCCTGATCATCTCAATGGGGATCCGCTGCGCCTTGGCTTGCTAGTTTCCACCCGTCTCCAACTCCATGAGATAGTGGCGTACAGCCATCGACTCCGCATGAAGGTAACTCCAAAAGATCTGACACGGCTGAACGCCCGCTCGCGCGAACTTCCCCAGCGTGTACCACCACCGCCTGCAGCGCTTCAAGAGTGGTGCCGATCTCCGCATGATGCACAGCCAAGAGACTCTCGACAGTCACGATGCGCTCAGATCCCAGCCGCGTTCTCAAAGAGGGCAACCGCCTTGAAGATGCAGCCCGGCACTGACCTCCCACCGGTTCCTGCAGCCGCTGATCCAGGTCCTTGTGGTCCCTTGACATGTCTTTGGGCCAGGCTCTGGACACTTTACTTAACTCACACTTGCAAAGAGGTATCGGAACGAGGGTTAATGAGGCCAGAGCCCGCGCCATCAA